ATTCCATTGTTCTACTTATTTCGTCATTTCGCGACCTTTTTATAGTGCTTTGTTGCCCCAAATAACGTGAGGCATAAACTTTTCGACGTACTGAGATTATTGATTGTTCGTATTATTGAGGAATAAATACATTGATTTGGTCGCTTTTTGGTGCCTTTTTAGAGTGAAAATGAAAAGCCGTAAGGAGAATTGTAAAGTAAATCCACAAGATTATCCATGGGGAGAAAAAGCATAAGCGCTATTTAAGCAAATCGCAGACTAATAAAATCTATCTTTAAACCAAACTAAAATAATATACAAAACGTTTCTAGATAATCAATAATATATATCGAAGTTGGATTGGTAATACTATTCAGGTAATTATTACAATTATGATCAAAGTTGAGTTACTTATAAAAACAGATATTTGTGACTATTATTTACCATGTCTTTAAATTGTTGTTGGTAATGTATAGACAAAAGTTAATTTTACTAATTTCATTTAATTTCAATGGTCAGTTACTTATACTAGTAGGGTGAATTTCAATTCTGCTTACCAGATCTTTCAGGTCCCTCAACCAAGCAACATTATATTTTATTGATTCTACAACTATTTTGAACCAGCGATGATTAGACAAACTCAGAATTTTCGTATACCATCTGTAAGTTAATGGTATATTTATTCAGAAATCGTGAGATGTGGTCTGGTGTGATGTAGGTTTCAGAAAAACATTTTCTTTATCGTGCCAACGTTTCGATTTTATTGACATCATCTTCAGGGCCTGGGATTTACAAACATTGTTTACACTTAACAAATACATGTGGATGTTAATGGTATATTCTAATTTTCGTTCTAAACATAAGGAGACTGAGAGTGACCAGAATAAGAGTTTGAATAATTTTGTAGTAAAGTTCCTTTGCAATATTTCACTAACCCTGAGCATAATACCACCCGACACACCTAATCACTGTAACAAACCAACGTCCGGTAGATTATGTTACAAAACTTAGGCTTGTAGGAGTAATACCCTTATTGCCGAAAAATTGATCCCACGGAGTATTTATTTCTCGGTTGTCTTTATTTATTTTGGTACATGACAAGATATGAGGGAGGGTCATACATAAATATGACTATTTATCACATCTATTTTTTCCAACTTTACAGAGCACCATTGTTTATTTTTAGCCAGCTTACTACTTTTTTTGGTAATTTAGATGGACAGGAATGTTCAACATATTGGCTTAAAGAGAAATATATATGATTATTGAAAACATGAATATAAATTAGGAAAATGATTAATAATTGTGTAAGAGCTCAAAAACCTCAACCAGCATAGTCAAATTTGAAAGGTTAATATCCCAAATTAACGAAATATGTAAATGTATAAATTGTTTAAAGGAAATTTCAAACGCCAGTTTTCTGTGGAACACACAGCTGTATAGAATAGCTGTATCTATTTTATTTTCTGAGAAGATGGAAATTATGTTGCTAAAACTTGCAAGCAAATTCCTGGTGTTCCGATCGGGAATCCACAATAATCTCCGATAAAGTTTCCATTGGCGGATCGGATCCATTGCTGAGGGAAACAGGTGTCCTTCCTTTGTTGTGAAGTTCGTGCCGTCAGTTGAAACTTAGGAAAATCAATCGCTTCGGAGCTTAATTAACCGGAAACCGTTCATTATAATCGGATTTGACTTCACCGTCCGGCTAAAGCCGCTTCAAAACGGGGATTAATCGCTAATTCATTCATATTAGGTCACCACTTTTCAAATTACTTTTCGTAACTGTTAATTCCCCTTTCATCTAATCTACGTTGACTAAATCAGTTTTGAAATAATTTTTATGCTTAAAGTGTAATAAATAGTTTCGTTTATTTAGTTTTTATTTAATTTTTTTAAAAAGAAATAATGAAAAAGCATTGAAAACACCATCGGTCCCCGCCCATTGTCCGTAAACATTATTACCTTAACGTAAGGTAATGTAAGTATATATAAATATTTAATTAAGATGATTTAAATAATAATTTCTATCGAAAAATTCACGATGAAAACTAAAGTGGTTTTAAAAATTATTTGTGTTCTTTAGCTTTAGTATATACTTTTTTCACTTCTTACCTGCTCACCATTCACTTTTGTTGCCTCACACTCTCACACACTTTCTCTCTCACTCTCTCTCTCTCCCTCTCTCTCCCTATCTCTCTCTCACTAATTTGCTCTCTGTACAAAGCAATTACATAGTTGTTATAACAATTTACTCCCAACAAATAACAACTTGGCAGATGACACAAGCTCAGAATTGAGAACGCGTCCAATTTTTGTTTTGTAAAATAAATTTGCTTTTTAAGTAGAAGACATTTGAATTACATTTCTCATATTTGAAGTTAATTACCAACCAAATTATTTAAATACAGATGTTTCTTCTCTCTCTCTCTCTCTCTCTCTCTCTCTCTCTCTCTCTCTCTCTCTCTCTCTCTCTCTCTCTCTCTCTCACTGTTATGGTTTTTTATGTTAAGTCGCCAGTAATGTGATTGACGTTAAATTCGTTTGTCCCAAAGCCTAATTGTGTATGCACAACTTAGTTAGTTATACTATTCATTGTGTATTTGTCTTTTGATGCCCATGTGGAAACTTGAGTAATTTCCTCCAGGATTAGAACCACCTCTTGAATCGGAGCCTCTCTTTTATCTGGACAAATAACGTAATAATATTTCTTGTTATGTACTATTTGTTTGAATTAAACAGTGTTATATTGCATTGTTTTGTTAATAGGCTAGAAATTTTATCTGCCATTCCTTACATTAGATTTTCAGGACATAGGCGTGAGTTCCGTCTCTATAGAAGTTGCGTCACCTCTCGAATTTTAAATTGGAATAGGTATGAAAAGAAAAAAAAAGAATTTTGCTCATTGGATTGAACATTAACACGGAACACACCACTTTAAGACTTTTTTTCAAAAACATCGATTGTTGAAATAACCTCTGATGTAAAACCCCTCGTAAAAAAATGAATGACAAGGATACATAAATTATTGTAATTTAACTCGTAGAAACTATTTTGTAGTATAAGATTAAATAAACAATTAAGAGAACCAAACGTCTTTTCTTTCTGAATTCCATGACGTTTTTGCTATTCCGTCCCCTCCTTAAACGTCTTATTGTACAGATACCAACTTAACTAAATAATCTTTCGACAAAATGACTGTTGTTTTAATCTTTTGAAAGCAAATCATGATTGCGGTATCCAAGAGCCGAGATTATATGCCCAAGTTACACTGAATGGGATATTACTGTTCCCATATTCACGGCGTGCATCTCTCATCAATCTTGAATTATAACCCGAGAAATTTTCAAGGGAAAACACGGATGGCAAAACCAAAACTAACTTTCAAGCTATAATAAACTTTAGATTACGTTACTTTATCAAGAAAACACGGTGTTTTCTATTGAATTTGTACAACTGTAAAATAGTCTACACAAAAAATATCTACTTTTTTAATAATTCATTAAAACCGAACTACATAAAATAAAAAAATAATAGCGATATAACAAGGTAATAATTTATTTTTGAATTAGATTTTAAATGTATTTGCCAAATACTATTCATTTATTTTTATTTTTAAGTTAGTTTCCTTTTATGGAACAAATATAAAATTTTAATCTGGAAGTAAATAATCTGTTGAATTTGTAGTATTTTGTTACTGTTAATTAAAGACTATTTAGAGGGGGGTTTAGAAAAAAATCTCTTTATCGTGCCAACGTTTCGATCTTTATTGAGAACATCTTCAGGGACTGGGATTTATAAACATTGTTTAAATTTTACAAATACTTGTAAGATGTGAAAACGAATTTATAATGTGATGTAAACAATATAGAAATTTTAGGTTTAATCAACGTATTTTTACTTTTTCATAGTGGGTGTTTTCTGTGTAGATGTGTCACGGTTGTGTGTCGTGTTGAATGTGTTAGTAAGACATTGATGTTTTTTGTATATATATGTTTGTTTTTCAAGGAATGGGGAAGAAATTAGGGATAGAAATTCATTTTTTCTAGGAAAAAAATGAATTTGTACCTTTAATTATTTTCAAATAGTTAGTAATTGAGTATTAAAGTATTTGTCCCCCTTTTTTCACAATAACCCCCCCCCCAAATTTGAACACACATATATGAATTGTCACATGGCTAATATGCATAGTTCATAACGAAAAAAAAAAAAAAAGTATTTGTCAAGTAAATTATTTTTAGCATGCCACATCGTGATTGTTCCATAATATTACATAATTATTCTAATATTTACTTTTTACTATTTTATACGAATTTGTAGCGCAAAATCGACCAAACAATAAATTTTGCATTAAAAGTAAGGATAAGGCTAATATGAAGAAAAAACAAACACTCAGTTCATTCGTAAAAGTTTCGAATTAATTTTTAAAGGATTTCTAGAAATATATGTTGTCTTAGATAAAGCCCTGAATAAAAACCTTCCCATTAAATTACAAAATCCTAATCAGAATTCTGATAAATGTATCATCCTTAGCTAATAATTTTTTGTTATATANGTTATATATATATATATACTCGAGCTTTTGTGTTGTAGAGAATCACCCACTTAGGTGTTTTGGGAGTCAGGGATGAGTCATCGGTCTTATCCATCTTGCCAGCTTAGTTCAGCTCCAGGAGATGTCAACTGTTAGGCCATTTCAGCCCTAACTCACGCAATGTTTACTAAACGGAGAAGCACTATCATTCGCTCTTAAATAAATTATTTCCAATTTACACCCCATTCACTCAGGTAGGGCGGTGCTCACAGAGAAAACATCTATTGCAATGTCGAGGTACTCAATATTGTACAATGGCCCGTTGACATCGCATATTCATTATAATAAATACAACCTTCAATAAACAATACTAAATACAACTTTCAATATACTCAAATGGGAGATAACAAGATAACAACCACTCCAAAAATCAGAACAGGCGACCAAAAAAACTTGCTGCTCAAGCACAATTCTTATATTTGTATTCCTACTCGCTCAATATATGGATCCACTGAAGGGCATCATTAACTTGGGACGCGTCGAGTAATCGAGCAAATTTAAGATCCACGGAAGTTCTTAAACACATTTGATTGTACATCATCTAAGAATATTTACACGTATAAACATTTTTTAATGAATTTTGTTCCAAAACATTTATTGTACAATAAAATTTGTGAGCGAATAAAGTATGAATAATATTTTAAATATCTATGTTCTCAAATTTTACAATAATTATTCGGAAAATAAATTGGTTTTCTAAATAACTAAATGTTAGTTGTAGTAACATTACTAGTCTCGAATAGACAACTCAATATGTATTAGTAATTTTATAAAGACATTTATTTTTTTGTTTATGTTTTCAATCACTTTCCTCAGATCAATGAGAACACAATTTCTTGTACTTAGTTTGATCGAGAATCGATACTAAAAAAATTAATTATAAAACAGGTTAACTCAATTTTTCAGTTATAAATATTTATTTATATATCTATTTTTTTTACATAATTTAATTTGAACTAACTGTACTATTCGTCACTTTCATTTTTTCAAGTTCCATTCCCAATAGCCTTTCTTGCTCTTCATGGTTTTCCATGTCCTCTTGCTCGAAAACGTAATCGCCCATTATTTCAGGATCTTTTTCGTTTCGAACCTCATAAACTTCAGTCGCTTTTTCTTCCTGTTTATTCAAAACTGATTCTGTGGTCAATTCCTCTTGAAAAGAAGGTTCGTCCATTTCTTCGGTGGGGTACCCAACATCACCCATATCAATCCTGGAAGCTTCCCCTTGGAATCGAACCGTCCTGTACTCATCGTCGATTTCCCCTGAACCGTCTGGAACATTGTTTATTAGAACAATTCAATTTTTTCCCACTATATATATGTGACCCCAAGTAATATTAACTATAATACACGAAAATGAAAAATTGGTGAATAAATGAATAAATCTAAAAATGAAAAAAACGTTATCTAGGCATGTCTAGGTGTTAATTTTGTTATTAACTTCTTTTAATGGCAATTGTATATTTTGTGCGGTATTATAGATATAATTGGTGGTTTGTTGCATTTTTGATTGTAGTTTCATTTTATACAGAATTTCCGTATCAACAGTTTAGTCAGTCATTTTGAACAGTAGTTTCTGAATTAATTTATTCATTTCATTGAGGGTTTAGTCAAGGAGTTAAGCAACCAGGCCCACTGACGCTAAGCTAGCAGTAAAGAACATGATAAAAGAAAGATGGCAGCGTTAGTGGGCCGGGTCGTCCGAGAGGCGTCAAGAGCACGATTCGTAGATGGCCCCCCGAGAATCTGAGCCGGAAACAAGGAATCATCCTTACGCGATTAAGAATAGGCCATACGCGGTTGACACACGGGCACCTGTTCTTGGGCCAAAGCCCGCGCAGGTGCCCCTTATGCAGAGAAAGGTTGCTCGAAATGTCCCATATACTGGAAACATGTCATGCCTTGACTCCCTACAGGGAGCGTTTAGGCATTCCACCCAGTCTGAAAATGGTACTCGAGCACTGCAGCGGATTTCTGGGTCCCCTGTTCCGCTTTTTAGGGGAATTTGGGTTTTTTTATTGAATATAATATGTATTATGTGTTGTGTCTATATGTTTTGTCTGAGTGAATGTATTTATTAGCGTGAATGGCGAGGGGTGAGGGTGAAAAATAACGTCATCATCGCCCCTCGAACGTTGAGAGCGTATGAGTGTGAGTTTGGGGTCGACGGCGGAATATTTATAAAAGTACTCCGTCGATCCTAATCTAGATTAGCTTGAGATTAGGTCGGTGGAGGTATATCAAGTACTCCACCGGCCAAACGGAATGAGTGTACTGTATGGATGTATTTATGTGTATGAATGTATTTATTTGTATGAATGTAGTGTTTGAAAGGGAAAATAAAAAAAAAAGAGTATAATATTATTTCAATATATGAATCTTTCCTTTTGTTTATAAAATTAGTTTAGTTGTTTATTTCAATTTCACACCATTTGTGTAAAATGCTTAATGAAAGATCTTATACGTCTAACCACTCCTGTAAGTTATCGCATTATGTAAAAACAGTAAATAAAAATCTAATAATATTTTATATAGCTTTATTTTTTATTATTTTATTTATATATTTATTTATTTTTACGAGGGTTCGCAATAGCACACGTTATATCAATCAACGGGGTGCCGGTAAAAAAAAATTAAAAAAAAAAAAATTTATAAGTATGTCGGGTACAACTGCAGAACCGCTGGATTCGAACCCAGGACCTTTACGTTACAGTGATGAACGCCGAGTCAACGCCTAAACCGTTGCCACCACCGATGATGCCCCTACAACTTTATTCTTAAACTATGTACAGCGTTTAGTTTGTATCCATTTTCTAGGGTTACTGTTTTATTGCAATTAATATTTCCATTTGTTTATAAAAAGCATGCAAATAATTTATTTATTCTACTATCTTTTTTCTTGAAATAAACAACTGTATGCATTATCAGGAACAAGGGAACTGAAAACTCTGGAGGCATAAATAAACATTTTTTAATTATGGAATTCTTTGGTTGTATTTTTCTTGTATTTAATTTTTTTACAAGAGTTGATAAAGAAAAAAACAATAATACTCATCCTGCATAGTTTTGATCCTAAACGAAAAACGTTGAATCACATTCTTTGAGAAATTCATATCTCATAACTTTTCTTAACTTTCAAACATAAAAAACCTTTGGTTGTTTTAGTCTTTGGAAAGTTAGAAAAACGCATATTATTCTTAATGTAATTAATTTAGGTACAAATTTTTACTATATACTAGAATATAGATAAGTTTTGAGATAAGAGTATCTAGGGATGATAGGGTTTTATTTTGCAAAGTAACTAGATAAAACTTTTATAATCAAATTTAATATAATAAAAAGCGGCCTTTGTGTAATTTTCCTCAGCTTGATAATGTTGCTCAGAAACTAGAGAAATATATCATGACAAGAGAGGAACAGGGGGATTTTAAGAGGAACAGTAAATTAGATAAGCTTGCTTTTAAAGGCAGACGTTCGAGAAACCAAAAGAAAACGAAATATATATTAAAAAAGTAATTCAAAATTTTACAATGAATAACCTAGGCTGATACAGGGTCTGCCATATTTATCTGTAATATTGCAAATTAAGTTACACATTGTCAACACCCAGGGCTGTATATGTTAAAATATTTCTATTCTGTATTTCTTTAGTTATTATTGGAAAAAACTGGGAATATAAATTACATGTGTTTCTATTATTCTGAAAAGTAATTTAAATTCATCTCTTGTTTCTCAGGCCTTCGACAAAGTATGGCATGAGGGATTATTGTACAAATTAAAATTATTTTTACCCCAGGCCTATTATCTGATTATACAATCATACCTTAAAGAGAGATTTTTCGCAGCAAACCAGGATACGGAGACTTCTGGGATTGAAGAAGTGCTTGCAGGTGTGCCACAAGGGTCAATACTTGCTCCGCTGTTGCACACAATTTTTACTTCTGATATGCCCACAAATGAGAATACACTCACCGCCACATGCGCAGATGACATCGCCATATTAACAAGCCATCTCTCTTCTACACAAGCTTCACTCGTGTTACAAAACCACATATCAACAATTGAAAAATGGAGCAATCTTTGGAAAATAAAGTTTAATCCCTCAAAGTCACAACATATCACCTTTACACTCCGTCGTGAGACTTGTCCTAGTTATACAATGAACCTGTTCCTCAATCCGACAAAGTTAACTATTTAGGACTTACATTTGATAGAGGACTAACTTGTAATCCACACTCACGATTAAAAAAACAGACAATGAACAAACGATTTAAAATTCTTTATTACCTTTTCAACCGACAATCAAAATTACCATTAAAATCAAAGCTTTCGACATTCACATACCTACTCAAACCTATTTGGATGTACGGGTGCCAAGAATATGGATCGGCGAAGTATTCCAATATTCAAAGATTACAAAGTTTTCAATCCAAAATTTTAAGACAAATTGTTTCTGCCCCTTTTTATGTAAACAATAATACACTTCACAGAGATCTTCAAATCCTAACAGTTTTTTCATCCATCAAAACATATTACAGACGTTTCCATAGTAAATTACAAAATCACACCAACACACAAATACGATTACTCCATTCCCCACAATTACCCCGTAAACGTCTGAAAAGAATATGGACAAGAGACCTCTTAAATGATTAATATCATTTCATTAATCCAGAGCGGCTGCCAATGGGTCGCTTTCTCTATAACGCCCATAATGCCAAACACAATCTGAAATCTAATCTGCTGGTTGTATATAATACATGTACAGTTGTAGATACAAATAAATGAAGTAAAAAAAAATTCATCTCTTTGTTTGAAAAAAAATTGAACAATGTAAATTTGAGTATTAGGATAACTTGATTATTGATACGTACGTACACAATAGATGTAAAATCTTTAAAAAGCAAACGTTCATTCTTTTTTGAAAGATTCGTACACTTAACAGCCCTAACAAAAGATAAGTTACACTTGTTCATTTTAAGTTAAAATTTTACTGTCAGTTCTATAAGTACTACAGCATTTTCACACTGATGATTTTAAATGCTTCTGCGATTTCCACATAAGCTTCCATTTCAAATTTAAGTAAATTTCATTTTTAAGCTTGTGTAAATATACATATTCAAGGTCACGGATCTCGGCATAGTTTTAAATTTTAATTTTCATATAGATCTCTGTTTAAACTGATAAAATATGGTTTTGAAAGACAAACGTTGAAAACCGATAGCTCTTGCATATCAGGTGCGTCGTTTTAATGAATGTCTCTTCAGTTTTCACATAAAGAAGATGTTAATAACAGTGTCCTGAGTAGTTACCCTTGCGGTTCACTTGATTTCATTACTGAAATCAAAGTTCCTGAGCCATGGCTCAATGAACAGTTCTTATTTTACATTAAGGAACCTATTGCTTATGTGATAAATTATTAAAATCAAAATCCTAAAGTAAAAAGTAAAATACGAAATTGCACGTCATTGTTCATGTCCAAAAGATCATCTAAAAACACCCCAGTCACGTATGATTTCTACAAGGGTATGAAATTATGTAATTAATGGTTTTCTGTTTCAATATCAGATTATTATGATATATAATTCAATAATTTTAAATAACCTTACCAAACATGCGTTCTTCTAAATCGCCTCCACCAGGAACCAGAGACGTCAAATATTGCGTTCTCCTGCATATAAAACAGAATTGGTATTTTGTGTTTTTATAAAATATAGCTATTATTTATATAATACATTTTTCGTTACACGATTATCCAACTTTTTTAGTTTATTCGCCCCTACTTTATCTGCGTTCATCTTTCAGAAAATAAGATTTTATTGTAATTGAAAAATTTACATTTGGATGTATAAAGTTTAGCTTGTAGCAAAATACAATTTTAACTTTAAACTTTTAAATCCTTTCAGTCAGCTTGTCAGTTGTTTCGTTTGTATTTATTACAGACGTTCCTTTTAAAGAAAACCAAATCCCTTTTTCAAGAAAATCACTGATTTGATAAGAAATCCTGACGAAAATAGGGTAATTACCAAAAAGTAAAACAAAAGTGTGCAGAAAATATTGCATTTAAAATGAATGTGTCATAACAAAAAATTGTCAATTTAAAATATAATACATAACAACGATATTCCATCTTGGTACGCTCATTAATTATGCAAGTAAAATCAAAAAATATTTTTGCTATGTGCTACACTTCAATGACCATTATTGGTATAAGTGTAGAAAGAACACTCATGAAATATTTAACTTAACTTAAAGCGCATGTATTATACCATCTCGTAGACTGTGTCCTGGTTTTGCAAGTATTTCGAGGTTACTGTTTTTTTGTTTTTTCGAGGGTTCCCAACAGCAGAGGCCATATAAGCCCTCAGGGTGCAGGTTTTGTGGAAAATACAAAACAATTGTAAGTATGTCGGGTTTGAATGCAGGGCCACTGGATTCGAACCCGGGACCTTTACCTTACAGGGATGAGCGACGTATCAACAACCAAACCGTTGCGGCCACTAAAGCCCCCTACTTTGTTATATGTCAGTGAATTAGTTTGTTACCAACAAAAAGAGATAGTATGCAAATTTTATTAAATTATTAAATAAATGGTAAAATTTGGAAAAACCTAAAGCCGAATTCAGTAAAATCGGCCATAAAAATTATTTATGAAAAAAAATCGGATGGTTTTAACTACTTAAATAAGAATTCATTAGATGTCGTGGTCCGATTGGCCAAATATCATCTTTCAATTAATTGAAAAATAGCAAAAAGCAGGGAAAATTCAAAAGGTGGGGTTGAGATGGAAAGTTAGTGTCCGAGAGGGTCGAAGTCACGATAGGTCAAGTGGTAGAGCTGCGGCGTATTTAGCCGAAGGTCGTGGGTTCGAATCCCGCTCGTAACACTGATTGTTTTATCTCAACCCATACCTCAAATAAAGAATAATTAAATACGAATATTTATACAGAACAAAAAATAGATTTTTGGCTGTATTAGCCTTGTGGATTTTTTTCCATAATCAGTGTTCCAGTTAAGAATTTATAACTTCTCTCGACTTTATTTAATCACCAAGTTATTACAACCGTTGGAAAGCTGCATTTCTCATATTTTGCTTAGATTGCCTTATGGTGTTTTCTTATAGGTTCAGGGCCTATATATATTTTTCCAGATAATCCTCTGGCCTGTGGGTCTGCTTTTTCGTTACCCAAAAGTCGTGTGTAAATTGCAAAGTCATACTTACTTTTGCTTTGATTTTTTTGGATACAGATTCAAATGAACTATCATCCTGTTGCTGTTAGGCTGTACGGTGGTTGTATGGTATGATGGCTGTTTATAGCGAGTCTTCCTTCCATGCGGATAAACCTGGCCTAAAAATGAAAAACAATAAAATTCACTTTATGACTACAATCATAGTTGCTGCTCACCATGCTCTACTTCTCGTGTCACCGGGTAAATATCTAGCAAGATTTTAAGAGGCTTTTGTCTTTTATCTGGTCTCGAAGTTGATAGTGTTTCGAAAGGATGAAAAATAGCCTGGGTGATCTGCGTCTGGGACGGTATTGTGGCGGAATCCTTTGGAATTGTCGTTGGCCGGACGATTTTGTTGGAAAATCTAAACATGAAAAATGTTTTTGTTTTATATATGATCATTTACCACTTCAATCTGATTTGAATAATGTTTCAAATTTTTTCCGAGCTCAGTGGTATTTGCTTATTACTCCTCTTAGATACAAATTCTCATATATTTAGTAATGGATGAATGTTTCAAACAATATTAAATGAGTAAATTGGAGATTCTATGAAGTGTGTGTTTGGATTTTCGTTGTCGAGGAAATTCCTCATCAAATTGAAGGAACAATTTAATAAAGAGTAATATTTCTACACCTATTGATAACTTCTGTATTGCCACGATTTTACATTTAGTGCATATTCTAATTCATCAGAATGTTGTAATAATAATTAGTGTGTCCATTTTTTTTAGATCAATAGTTAGTAATAGTTGCAGACGTGTATGGACTTTTTGAACGTTTTGATATAATTTTATTAAACATTAATAAGCTTGGCATAATAAAAAATGTATCATATTGCCCAGCTAAGATAAATTAGAATAGTAGAAGTGGATAACTAGTTGGTAAGCAGAGTCGATAAAAAATTCGTTGACAAGGCACTTTCATATTTTTAAATATTACCTAGGTCCAGTGTCGAAATCTGATGAAAAAGAGGCGAGGTTGTTTATCTCTGAGGGATGCGACGGTTTATAATGTTTGAGTGGGTCTGAAGCATACGGTTGCCCGTTCAACGACGGATTTTGCGGGTTTTGGTTGAAATTTAATTCCTCATAGTCGTCATCTGGCGTTTTTAAGTACACCCCTGTGAATTTGACCGCCGGCCGTCCGTCGGGACCGATGATCAGGTGAGGCGTCTTGTGTACGTAGCCGATAACGTCCTGAACCCTCTTGAAATCGTGTGTGTTCTTGTAGTTCTCCAATTGAGGATATAGATCGGAATAGTGGTGTGGGGTAAAAAAATGTTGTTTCCCTTTTTGCCGTTTCTGGACTTCCATGGTTTTGCCTCGTCTAGAAACAACGATGTCGCCGTATAAGTCAGTTTCTTCCTCTTCCCCTTCTGGGAACTTGATCTTGTTGTTTCGCTCTTCGGGAAACTTAAAAGCTTTTACATGCTCTCTCTGCTCTAGTGTGCTTTCGTCGATTTTCCGATCAATCATCGTAGTTTTTGTAGTTTGAGAAAGAATATTTGACTCATTTGATCGTTCCCATGCTTTTTTTCTCAAAGCTTCTATTTTGTTGTTCGATCTACTTTGAGTGATGCTTAGAGTAGTAAAGCAAATCTGCAACAATTAAAAATATGAAATATAACATAACTGATCGACTCAGAACATAACATTCTAACAATAGTAAAGCATAAGTCATAAATAATATCCTATGTTCTTTCAATTTTTTTATGCTTACTAAATAGTTTTCGCAGTATATGCTGAGGTGCTAGTTGTTAATATAAAGTCCAATTGTTAAAGTATTGGTAATATTTTTAAATATTAATAGTGCTATACTTACTAGTTTCTAATACAAAAGTTTTTCAAAGGATTTTTTTTCTTACGAGAGTATGCAATTACGAGGTTATATGAACCCTCGGAGCCTGTGTTTTTGAAAATAAAAAAGCCCATTCGTAATTACGACAGGTTAGAATAAAAAGCCACAGGATTCGAATCCTGAACGGCTACGGACGCCGACAAAACAAATACTATTGTTATAAAAAATGATAACTACTACCCGCGTTTCACATTCACATATTTTTTCTGTTTATCGGCTAAACATAAAATCATGGATAGGTAGCCTAACCCGTCCATAACTCTATATTTATCAAACCTAACCTAATCACTGCCTAATCCTAACTTACCTGCAGTTATTTTCAAACCTCAGCTCTACCTAAGATATCCGTCATTAACCTAACCTTACCAAAACTCTAACTAACCTATCCATTGTCAACCTAATCTTCTAACCGCCTTTCCCTGCAAAATATGGTCGTACAAAACAAATTTGTATAACAAAGCCCAAAGCATATCCACGTTAAAAATAATTAATTAACGTTAATATATAACATTAACTGTGAACCTTATTGACCTGAAGCAGAAAAATATTGATGACAAAATGGTAAGGTAAGTCAGTCGCATAATCATCACATCAAAAAACCCATTAATGTATATTTATAAATAAACAGATCATAAGGATTACATTTAAAATATGTCGCAACTTTGACGACAACTTCGTTATGCCCATTTGGAATTTCGCGCCCAAAAAATTATAGTTTGAATGTTACGGGTCAGAAAAATTCGAATTTATTTTGTAACGTGAACCTCTTACTTTATTACTATAAATATTATTTTGGACTCCACCGTGTTACAGAAAATTTGTGTTAATAATGGTTGACTGGGTTGCGCCTGTACGCATAAAAATTTCATCAAATCATTAGGCATTACTGAAGTTTAAATCGTAGAATTGTTCGATATAATTTATTATTACCCACGGATTATCAGATTTCAAAACAGGTATGCCCTGATCTAATTTTAGAAAAATAATTTTGTGATTTATCGGGAGTTTTCGAATGTATTGTTGCTTGTAATAATATCACAATTAGGAGGAGGTGAGGGAGTGATTTGCAGGTCGTCGGGATCCTCTGTGCTGGAGGGTGACTTGGCTAGATTGCTATTCGAGATCATCCTCGGATTAGCCTGAACCTGTTCAGTCAGGGCTCGTAAACCCCTTTAATTTTTGCCAACAATATTTGATTTCTGACTTATACTGTCGACTGAATTTTTACAATTGTCTCAATTCCATATCATTCGGACCCTATTACTTTTTATAGGCCATTTTGCCCATGACCGGACATTACCGTATGTGTAGTGATGATGTTTATGCAAATAGAACAAATAGAAATTTCATTTGGACAACCCTTTTTTTGATAGGCGAGGTAAAATGTGGAGGGATGTGAATTCTGGATTCGGCCATGTTTCCGTAAATACATGTCAAAGTTAAGGTAAACAGTTGAAGAAGTACCAGGAAATCGATTGTAGGATGGATTATCCGGATTACAACGAATTATTACAAAACAATTTTATCTCATCTCCATCATACCTTTCTTAAAGATTATTTATGATTTACTCATGCAGTTATTTACAGATTACGTAAAAAAGTTGCTGAGAATTAAACGCTCTGTACCAGTTTTTTTCACATTAACTCCACCTGTTTGCGACCAACGGAGGTGGAAATAGAGAGTGTATAAAAGATTAAGGAAAAATAAAATAAAAAGAACAATCCTCAGTTACAAATGAATTATAATTGAAATGTAAATATTAATATTTTTTCCACCAATTAAAGAAAAATATTAGCTAACTTAAAAGTATTTCTTTGACCAGCTTTAAATTTTATTCTCAAAATCTCTTTAACTCAGTTTCCGGTTGGAGGTGTTTCTGACTTCTTCCTTGTGTTGCGGTTCACGAGGACAAAATAGTTTGACGCCCGATTGTAGTCCTGGTTTCCCGGGAATTTCTCCGCCACCGCTGAACGCCAGTGCGAAATTTACCACTAAAAGTAGCAACTTTATTTGTACAGTAACACTATGTCCCGAAAATCTTCTATATCTCCGGCAAAAATAACTCTAAAATACCATAAAACAAATATTTCAACGATCATTAAATAAAAAATTAATTAGGCCAAAAGTATTGTCTAATTAAATGATAACTAAATTTGAAATTTTTCCAAGAAGCTGCTCAAGTTGTACATGTCAAAATATTCATTTTCCAAATAGTTTTCACTAAGATGAACATTCACGATGAAAAGTAAAATGAATTAATTTTGGCAGTAGATAATAAGGCTTGTTTTATTTATAGGGATTAAAATTATTGTAACGTCATCAAGGAGGTCTTTGATGGCACGAGTGAGGTTTGGACATAAAAAAGAGCTTAGTCCGATATTCTTTTGGTTATCCTCCCAACAAACAGAACTGGGATGTTCATAAAAAATGCTAGATGAAAAAAGAATGTTTTTATGACCGAAAAGAGAAATCCGATTTTTATCGGACAATGCTCCTTTGAAAAAAGCGAAAAACGAAACACTCAGCATTGTGTTCGTTCAATAGACAGCGATTGAATCATACGTAGATATTGTATTAAATTTTCGTTGACTACTTACATTCTTAGTAAAAAACATTACTGTCTGGGAGGTTAAAAGAAGATTCTAAGCAATTAATATCAAGTTTATAGGAGCAAATAACGTATATAGTACAATTATGTTATAAATAATTTATTACAGAAATATCAAAAATCTTTATAGCATTCAGTAATGTGGAATGAAGTAAGATTTTTTTTTAAAATTTATTTTCCTTTCCACGATTTGTTATAAAGTAAATTATTAATGAAAATTTATTTTCGTGCCAATTTATTTTGATTTAATAATCATCACGGCTACAGAAATAATTGTATATTTGATACAAGATAATTTAAATAATATTTACATTTTACATCTGTTCACAGAGATTTATAGTTTAAAATTTCATAGATTTTAATTTTATAATGTTCGGAATTAATCTCGCACTACAACACTACAAAAGGCTTTGTTTTTAAAACAGCAACTCTTCATTTATACCTTGATAACAAATCGTGGAAAGACGAACTAAATGAACATCTGAACACCTATATCATATGTAAATACCCACAGCTATAAGTAAATACACACTACCAAAATAAATAAGAAAACGTGAAAATATACCAAAAACGTATAAGACATTTTAGGTTTACAGTTTAGGACAGTCGTATTATTCAATCATATAAGAAATTGTATGATAATAACTTTGTAAATGGTTTAACTATTTTAGAGACATTAACTTTTTCAATATACGCCAATACAGTACGTATTGGTAATTTCGTAATGTACGTCAAAAACAAAAAGCATTCGTCTTTCTTCAATGTTTGTTCGAGTTAAGCAGAAAAGTTGCCAACACAACGGTAATCATAGAAGGGACAACATAGCGCCCTAAGTAATTCGGTTATACCATTTTGCACGACAGATCCGCAATGCAGTTTAATCGTTTTAGACTCCTCGTATTAGTCGCGGTTTTAGTAGTTAATTATTATTTAATTTATTGCAAGCTAAAAAACAGATCAAAATAATTTTTTATATTTAATAAATAAATAGGTCATTTGCGNTAATTAATAAATAAATATTATATTTAATTTGGAATTCAAAAATAGATCAAACTTAGGGTAATAAAATTTGTCTTTTCTTTGTTCAACCACCTTTCCGCCATTCAAGATGGAGACCATACCGGCAGACCACGGCCAATTTATTAAAATTAAAACCTATGAAAAGGGTAAATGCTTCTTTAACAGGATTTATTTAAGAAGCGCGCATAAAGGAAGCGTCACTTTTCTTTTTTTCTTAGAACAATTTCATTTTAAATATACTACAAATAAGCTTCCTTTCCTGCGAAATAAGAAAATACCGCGCTAGCCTCTTCTATTTTTATATAATTTTCCAGAATATATAATATAAATATTAATAAATAAATAAGTAAATAATAAATAGACGATATGTAAATGAAGTATTTCTATATCATTTGATTACACAGAAAATAAATAATTTTATTAGATGTTATGTGAAGTTATGTATCTGTAATTTTAATTAATACACACAATATCTAACAAAATTATTTTTTGGATGCTTTGATATTGTTACAGTATCCCATTTCTCACAATATCACTTTATTTTTCTCACTACTCAGAAAGCTATAGAAGTGATATATTCAACTTACAAATAAAACAGTAGCAGACAAGCAGGCGATCACAAGCAGGACTTTAGATGCTGGTTTCATGCGCGGTTTGGGCACGTCTCGGAACACGCCAAAACTTCTGCTGCTTCCTAGCCGATCCATTTCTTCCCATCTGCTTCTTTCTGACATATTTATGGCATTATGCCGTCTGCCGAGCTGCTATTGTTCGTTCTGTGTTAGTTCCCAAAAGTTACTCACTGTTTAAATAGTCAGATTCAATCAAATATAAAAACCACAATTTATTAATGTTCTAATCTTCACCTGTTGTGTATGACGAACTAGTGGTTACACACGATTCTGTAATTACAAAATCAAAAACACTGCAATCAAAATTTAATGATATGATTTTATGTAGGGTTCCTTATCTTATCTTCGTAGAGGTAATTAGACAAGTGAAAAAAAGAATAAATGCTGGGTTCACCTAGCTTTCGACAACTTATATTGCTTTCATGAGGGCTTTCAGAAGGATGAAGACAACGATTAACATGGAAAACTATTGTGCAAGCGTTTTGGGTTTAAGGTTTAGAGTACATGGCCAGCATAATATATTTTTGACGGTGAAAACAGACATCTCGCTAAAAATCGATATGACTAAAGGTCCAACTATTTTTGTTCTGACTAGCAATTTATTTCAGGTAGTTTTGTGATCACAAAGAATATTTACAGATTTACAGTTAAACTGTTTTTTTTTTAAATATTTAAACTAAAACTACAACTATTTAGAGAAGCTATGTACAAAGGATAAAAATTAATGAGAGAGAGAGAGAGAGAGAGAGAGAGAGAGAGAGAGAGAGAGAGAGTGGGAGAGTGACGACGGGGGATGTCTGTTTTCAACCTTAAACGCTTTTAGCATAATTTTCCATGCTAATCGTTTTCTTGAACCTTGGGAAAGCCCTGATGATGGCACTATAAGATGCCGAGGGCTAGATGAACCCAGCATTTAGTCTTTTGTCACCTGTCTAATGACCTCTACAAAGATTGGAACACTACGTAGATTATCTGCAAGTCGACCAACGAACACCATATCAAATATGATTTTGGGGGCCGCGGTAGCCGAGTGGTTAAGGCGTCAGACTCTCGGCTAGTAGCTCCCGCGGTCGTGGGTTCGATCCTCACAGTCGCCTCTGGACATTTTCTGACGCCTAAGGTGACCGGTGGTCGCAATTGAAAGAAAATGACACGGCACTAATCAATAGAAGGAGCGGGATCAGATCTCAACGACCCTGAATTTGGTCCCAACCCCCTTCAAAAATGAGTTTCTTCGATGGAAGAACACCGGCACACCGAGGGCTCAAATTCACACTTGTGTTGCGAGTTACAGTTCCTGGTATGCATTGCAAAAAAATGTGATTTTAGATTAACGAAATTAAATTAAATTATTTTTCAAAATTGGAACATACTCTCTTACAGTGATCCTGTATTTACTTACAATTTAAAAATGAACTGCTTGGTTAAAGGTGTGAATATGCATGTCAATATTTTATTTACCTATATGTTTAACAACCAAGTAATGACAAATAAAAATGTGTTTTTCACAAGATATATTTATATTGTGTACTCATAAAATGTTAATACTTCAGAACGATACAAATAAGTGTTGTTCTTTAGTCGATTTGATTCTATGAATATCAACCAGTCTTCAAGATTTTGCTTCATTAGTTCGCCATTTAGTGTTCGATAATGCAGAAATGCTTGTGAATGTAAGATAAGACCTTACTCATGTTTATCAGCACAAACAGCGCTCAGACCTTTTTTAGAGCTTCACATCGCAAAAATAAGTCCGGAATATCCTGCCAAGATTAGATCCTCACGATTTCACAGAGGCCAAAACAGTTGCGGTACCAATTTTCTGCAAATTCTAATTATAACTAATATAGTATGATTGATACCTGATGAAAGGTAGTTTTATTTTTAATCGAGAAACTAATAAATATGTATAATTTGAAAATTACCTTGTGGAAATCAAACAATATGGTATTTTGGCTCTTTGGGCTATTTGTAGATGTGTTTATTCTTGCATACTTCTTTCAATTGCTATGTTCTTGGATAGTAGGTATTAATTTTACAATTTACTCTCAAATCAATACTTCTGTTTAGGATAAATGATTTTTTTAAATTATAAAATTTGTTGTGAATTTATATAGCGAACCAGACTTTTCCACCTATTACTCTTTAAAAATTTCAATTATTAGGAATATATATATATATATATATATATATATATATATATATATATGACCATTATTGCCAATACAAAAACTACCAAAATGTCTCCGTGATAAGGCAATACAAAGATTGAGAGAACAACATTTAAACAAAACAAACTAAAAATAAACAAGAATGTTTTGCTGATTTTTTTGTAAATTAATACCTTTTAAAATTCAACTATTTAGAATTAAATTTATATTTAAAATTACTTAATTAGTTAACTACCTTTAATTTCTATTCAACCAGACTCGATGTAAATTTTGTAGCGACCTGTAAATTGAAGCAGTTAGCTGGGTAGATATCCTTTTCATGAGTAATTTGATGCTTATTTTCTACTGGCCATAACTGATAGGATGACATGATCGCAAATGATATATCAATTTAAACAAAAATTTAAGCTTTTATGTTACAAATGAGAAAATTATAACAAATGAAACAATTTTTAAAGCTGAAAAATGATTTTAAAAAAGACAGATAAATAATAAATCAACTAATTCTCTTTGTTCACGCCTTTAAAATCGTTCGTCTACTTTAAACTTAGTCACGACTTATTTATCGATAAGATTGGAAAGGGAAAGCTGTTCCATTTCTCAGATTTAGACTCACTTGAGTCAGGATGCTAATCTGAGATTCATATGTAACCTTTTGGCCGCGTGTAACTTCAATAAACTTTCTGTCAACTAAACAATGAATCTTTTCTTCGTTGACTATAAATTACATTTTTAAAAAATGAGAGAAGAAAAGAAGGCAAAGTTTATTTCTACATGACTTTTTGACAAACATTTTATCGAGTGAGGTGTCAATGTAGAAAAAAAAATTTTGTTTTTACATTATAACATTTTTATATGATATTAAAGAAAGTCGAAAGAGTTAATGTAAAATCTATACATCGATCTATATATCTACAAGAAGTCAAAAAAGAATAATAATCCCTTTATTCAATCTGTCTTTGTATTGCATCGGACAAACCCATTCGGACATTGTACACTTTTTTAATAATTACATATTACTATTTAGTTACATTTTAATAATAATTACAATCAGTTTAGGTAAGTATAATCTAATGATACACATAAAACAGTGTTTAATACCATTTTCAAACATCAATTCTACTTGTTTTATTATCGATCTCATTTCCCTTTTTCACGAGTATGGTAAGTTTGTTAATTGGTTGTGCTGTAGGTAAACTGATGTTAGATATAGATCTATAAAAACAGAAAGAGAGAGAGTTTGGGGAAAAGTGATGAGGTTTAGAGAACATTCTGAAAATACTACAGCTTCCACAACATTGCGAGATAAACTATAACAAAACCGTAAAACTTTTTTTAAATTTTGACTTAGTAGAAAACAGAAAGGAAATACACTGCGTAAAGAAGGGAAGAGGGAGACATGAAGAAAAAGAGAGATAAAAGAGAGAGAGAGAAAGAGAGAGAGAGAGAGAGTGAGATCGACAGAGAGAGAGAGAGAGAGAGAGAGAGAGAGAGAGAGAGAGTGAGAGAGAGAGAGAGAGAGAGAGAGAGAGAGAGAGAGAGTGAGAGAGAGAGAGAGAGAGAGAAAAGACACAACTGTATTTAAATAATTTGGTTGGTAATTAAGTTCAAATATGAGAAATTTAATTCAAATGTCTTCTACTTAAAAAGAGAGAGAGAACAATAAATGAATAGTGAAATATTGAAAAACATAGGTAGAAGGCGACAACAAAAAATTTTTAAAAAATTGAAAAAAATAAAGAAATTAGAAAAGGAGTGAGAGAATATAAAGAAAGGAAAATAAACATAGTATTTGAGAATTGAAATATAAAGGTAGTATTTGAGAGCGAATGTGGCACAGAAAAAAAGTTAGCAAAACTGAGTGAATGAAAATAAAATAAAAAACGTAAAACAAAAATATAAGAGAGATACAAAATTGATGTAGATAGATACAGATAGATAGATAGAGAGAGAGAGAGAAAGAGAGAGAGTGAGTGAGTGAGAGAGTGAGTGAGTGAGTGTGTGTGTGTGTGTGTGTGTGTGTGTGTGTGTGTGAGAGAGAGAGAGAGAGAGAGAGAGAGAGAGAGAGAGTGAGAGAGAGTGAACAAGGAACAGAGTATTTTTTTATCTCTCAAATTAGCACTATTTCTAATGTAAGTTTAATAAAAAAATTATATTATAGATAGATAGATAGATAGATAGATAGATAGATAGATAGATAGATAGATAGATAGAGAGTTTGAGAGAGAGAGAGAGAGAGAGAGAGACAGAAAGAGAGTGAGACAGACAGAAGACAGAAAGACAAAAATGAAGAAAGAAGCAATTTTCAATTTTATCCGCAACAAACAAATTTTTTATGGGTTAACGTTTAAAATTTAATTTTTGTTTTTTTATTTTATTTTATATACTACTGTGTATGCATTATAATCATCCAGCAAATGCGATTTAAATTTGACATGGGGCAATAATTAGTATTATTGAGAAAAGCAAGACCTTAAATAAAAAGAATAATTCATTCAAATAATTGTACAGAAAGCTACCCATTGGCAGCCGCTCTGAATTAATAATTTACGAGGTATTTTTAAAAATTTTAGATGAGGGACCATGAGTTGCCTCCAGTAAATTTGGTCTAATAAACGTCGACAAATTTTATGATGTTAAATTAACTGGTAAATGTTATTTATTATTTTATTATTTATTTAGATTTATTATTGAACTTTCAATAGAAGGATTATTATACATACTATTTTTTTAAACTTAAATTTAAACTTTGTATAACATATATATTATTTTTAGATCGTATTTTTTCCAAATTTTCAAATATATTATAGTTATTAAAAGCAAAGAGAATTTAAAATCGCTGACATCACAAATGGCTTCCTTTTTATAGATTTTATTACTATTATAGAAATAAATTAAAACAGAAACAATTGGTTTATTATATACATTTTGAAAACTGAATGAAAAGCACAATTGAAGATCAGTTAAAAATGTTAGACTAGAGCCTACGTAACATTTTCGTTCGACATGGATAAAAACAAAAGCTGAAATATAAACAGACTAAACACTCCCAAATAAACAATGACATCCCGACCAGTTTGTTTTACTATACAAAAGAATGTGTTACCGTTTGATATAAATTGAATAATACCAAATACTTAGATAAAATCAATTTCTAGTTTTTAAATTTTTAGTTATCAGACATCCATGTTGTCGTTACTCAAATCATGTACACTTCCCTTGAACATATTAGAAGTACAACAACATAAAAATTATTCACAAAATTGGCATCAAAACCGAGAAAAAAAGTTAATAAAAATGTTTTGACAAAAATAAAGACAGTGGTTATTATGTTTAAAAATTTAGTTTCCCAATTTATTTAATCATTTTGAAGCTTGGTTGTTTAGAGAAATTAAACTTTTCTTTGTGAAAAAAACTTTTTTTTTTTAAATGTAACAAGATTGATAAATTTTGTTAACTTACTCTTGATCCGATGAGTGTTCGATGCGAGGTGACAGGCGTTGAACTGAAGTACGTGTGATGCCGACTTGGCACGGTAAACGCTCTGTTTCCTTTCGGCGGCCCGGGCTTAATTGCTTTTTGACTCTTCCCCTCGCCGCTGGCAATTTTCTCTTCACGCTTTGAAAATCTGTCTGAGGGAAAGCATCTGCGGTGGAATATCAGAATTGAAAAGGAAAAGGCGGACAAAAGAGGACGGAAAGATGACTTTTTGTTTATATACCTACGGCTATACGAAGCGAATTCTAGCAAAGATGATAGATCTGAACGTATGTTCTTTGAAGAGATGAGTATCATGGAAAAGGTAATTATTTGTAACATAAACGGACCCTAAAGGTCTAATATCTTTCCCGTCTCGGTTATTTTGTTGCTGTGATCTCCCGCGGGCTAGTAATTTTAAAAGCAATTAATCCATGTATGAAAGTCGGGATCAAAGACAATAAATGTAAAAGTGTGTCAGTGTCTCATGAGACCACTGGACGGATGCAAATTATTAAATTTAGTCTGGAGATAGAGCGTGGCTAACATGATTTCTCGCCTCGGTTCATGGATAATAATCATCATCAGTGAAAAGCCTGAAAAAATTGAAGCTTTTTGATTATGAAACCTGATACAAGAATATTTTTGGTTCCACAAACAGTTATAAATATGGAATGCAAATCATTTATGACTTGTATCAAGTTACAATAATACTGATAAGTAAAATTGTTGAAAGCAATTAATATTTACTAAAATCTGCTAATGAAAACCCCGTTCGAATTAGTTCAGTAATGAAATAAAACGAGCAATAGACTTATGAATTGGGTTTAACTGAAACGGTAAACAGTTTGGTCAAATTACTACACTTTTTAATAAAAATGGTCTTTAACTGATTACTGATTTAAATAAGCTGAAATCTGCAAGCACGTGTACAGACATAAACACGTGTGTAAAGGTGAGCCTATCTCTGGCAGTCCATCGGCAATTCCAACATTTGTTATTTGCAATAAATTAACTATCAACCAAAATTGGTCAAAACCAAATCCACTCACTCTTAAATACAGTTTTCTCATTTACATACTATTCACTCAGTTAGGGTTAGGGATGGTTAGGGTGCTCGTAGAGTACTCGACATTTCTCGACCGTCCGCTACAAACTAGGGGTATTCACGATCTTTGTGTTAACCCTATTAAGTCTGTTCGTTCCTGTTAGATCAAAAAAAATTATGACGTAGACTTGAAAGAATCGACTAGTTAACATTGCTCGATTTAACAGGCGTGGGCCAATGCTAGAAGTTAAGTCGAAAACGTAGTCACATTGCTATCCGTTTAGGCGTAGGCAACCAACATGGCAACCATGAATTTAACAGCTGTTTTTTGTTAACACGTATTTTTATTCTCAAATACACATTAATTAAATTAGACCAATACATTTCTTTTGTTAATTTCTGACCTCTCCTTATACGCTCCTTCATAATAGATATATCCCCTACCCTATAAAGTTATAGGCTGTTAGACGTTAAGATACAAGTAGTTATGTCGGCAAGAATTGAAGCGTGTCGTTTGTCACTTTTCGAGTGCATAGATAACATTTTGAATTAAAGAGTTGATTAAATTTCCTTTTTTATTAACTTCTGTCATATTACAATTTTACACAAACACTAATTAATCTTACAATCATCGTGAATACGCCTACTATGTAACTAATATAATAGGGTAAATGGAGAACTGAATATTCAGCCATCTACTGTCCCACACTACTCATTCACACCAAAAAATACGTTCACTCATAACACACAATAAAGGCATAAAACTATCCATACTATATCCAATAAAACAACTCCGTTTCCTCCATGAATCGGAACAGGAGATCTAAATATTCGCTGCCGTGCTCGAGCACAATACTCATATCGGCGGACATTTCTGCGCGCTCTATATATGGAGCCAAGGAATTGCACCCTTTAATCATGTGGGACACATCGATCAACCTTTCTCTACATGCCGGAACATTCGCGGATTTTGGCCGAAAAGTAAGAGTCCGTGTGTCAACCTCGCATGGCCTATTTTATGATATTTTATGACTTAAGCATGTGGTGGTGATACTTCTACGAGCCAAGTAACCCGACGGCCACCATTCTATAGTGCCCTTGATTCGTGAAATCAATCCTCTCTGCTGAACCGGCCGAATTCGTAGACGCACCATAATTTTACAATAATATAAATTTAATAAATAATTAAATTCACTAGTTTTCGTGGCCCGCTTGACCAATTAATATCTTTCAATTAATGAAGGTTTTTAGTTGAGATAAAACCGTCACTGTTACGAGCAGGATTCGAACCCACGACCTTCGGCTAGATACGTCGCTGCTCTACCACTTGAGCTATCGTGACCTCGATTCACTCGGACACTAACTTCCCATCTCAACCCCAATTTTTGAATTTTCCCTCCTTTTTGCCATTTTTCAAATGTCGTGTAATCTATTTGATTCTCGGCGACAAATGAAATGGCCATGGAGAGCTTTAGTGAAGTATACTTCATTTTAACTTATTAAATTGACTAGTTTCGTGGTCCGCTTGACCAATTGATATCTTTCAATTAATTAAGGTTTTTAGTTGAGATAAAACATTTGAAAAATGGCAAAAAGGAGGGAAAGTCCAAAAGGGGGGTTGAGATGGGAAGTTAGTGTCCGAGTGGGTCGAGGTCACGACAGCACAATTGGTAGAGCAGCAGCGTATACGAAGATCGTGGGTTCGAATCCCGCTCGTGACACTGACTTTTTTGACTAAAAACCTTAATGAATTAATAAATAATTTATACATTTTTATAAACCCGTTGTTTTTAATAAGATTATCATTGCTCTTATTTCACTAAACAATTACAGATTATTTTATTATTTTTAACCTTGTGACATTGCTCGAAGAGATTTTTCTATTTCTACCGTGTTTGGAATCTTAAGATCCTTATGCACATCTTTGGTCCTTACATACCATGGTGCATCGTCATGTTACGTAGAATTTTATTTTAAAAGAAAATGAAGCTTCAAAAATATAATGTTAATTATTTCCAATAATAAAATACACATTCATATACATTTAATGAAAGGTGATTTGAAGGTAAATTTATCAGTGAAAACCGGTTTATAATATGAAGCAATAAAGTAGGTTGTTTGCGTAAAACTCTTTTAGAAAATTGTTTGCAGAAATCGAAATATTCGAAAATTTCTTCTTTCCAAGAATCAATGTATTTATTTAGCATTTAATTGAAGTAAAACATGATTTATACAAACCATCGTTATAAAACTTATTAAAGGCACTTGCAGCATAAGTACACTACATTCGACGAATTCAGACACCCTAATTGATAGTAAATACATAGATAAATTAGCTGTTATGTCCATTTTAGAACATTAATATTAATTGATTTGTTTAAATTATATAACTGCGTTAATTACGCGGAAAAGTTGAAAATGAATACATAATTTATTGTAATCATTTACCATAAATTATTTCTATAATTCTTGAAGATACGTAACCGAAATACCAATTACTAGACAGCTAATATGAAAATATTAAGCAACTGCATATATTGTGTTTATGTAATGTTTGAAGTACAAAAAATAACAAAATTAATTTCTCGTATTACGTAAATTTAAGAGATCCATTTAATATGAACAATTGCAATATCACTTCACAATTGTTTCATTGCCTAAGAAAAGTTTTCAAAAAATTTATCAATGATTATAATCGTGCAGCGTATTTCTACACCACGACGTATATTATATAAAATTTTAATATATTAATTATAATTTTCTCATGAATGTGACTGGGTTTCATACTGTTAGTCCAAACATTATAAATCAGATTTCTATTTCCATTTGAATCACCAGACAAAAATATTTATACATGTGCCATATTAGATACCTCTACCTCTAAAGTCTTATTTAAAGATAAATGTACCGAGTTAATTCTTTTTCAGAATAAGAAAGATACGTTTCGACTGTGAGTTCCAAAGTGGGTTCTTTAAAGAGAAAACTTCATCCTTTATTTATTGTTCTTTTTTCCCTCACCGGGTGTTCACTTGTGATAGTATTGTTCAATAAAAAGTGCTGCAAATCCGTCACCCACGAAATATGTCCAAGGAGCTCCGCAGTATTCTCAATAATTTAGTGATTGAAATAGACACTTTTCTATTTTACGTGGAAAAGGGCTGTGTAGAAACAAATTCTTCTATAAATAAATAATTTTTGTTCTGTTATTTACAGAAATATTAAAATGTAAAAATTAAAGATATTTTCTGTTATGTTCGTATGTTCAACTGTTAATTTATAAATCGTTGTTTTAACGAATTAGACGGCAGCCGTCGACTGCATTCCACCATTGTTAGAAGATCTTTTGTAACCTGTAATATGACTTAAACTTTCAAAGCAATTAATAATAAAGCCCATTAACAAGCTCGATAATTTGTCTTCTTCTTTCTAAACTATTTGGACATCCTTACCCCTTCGGAGTCCGTTTGTTTATTTTAACCACAACCTTGTGAGATTTCGTAAACGAATTACGAATAAATTAACTTGACAGAAGACATTTCAAAATTTTAGCTCGTGGCATTTAACTGGATATTTTTTGAAGCACACTATGTAGAAATTATCCTAGGATCAAAAAATAAATCATCAAAAAACCAGAGCATAGCAAACTATTGAATACATTAATATATCATTCTTATAGTCCGAATGATCTCAGAACGAATCATAATAATACAATTTGTAAAATAAAACCATTTCCGGCACCTAGTAAAACATGTTAAATCAATAATAATTCAAATAGCTTGTAAAACAGTAAGTTATATATAATAAAATAAATTTTTATAAATGGAAAATTATAATTTAATCGATTAAATACTTACTAAAACAGTACAACCAAGTGTATCTTAAGAATATTTGTAAAGCAACTAATAAATATTTTATCAATGCAAATCGTAAAATCTTTTCAAGAAATAATCTTGTGGGAAAATACCTTT